TTTTTTTTTTTTTTTTTGGTACCTGGGATCGAACTCGGATCCTTGTGCTTGTGCAGCAGAAGCAGGTGGAGAAACCACTGAGCTAAATCCCTGGGCCATGGACCAGACATTTTGAAGGCACAGGGCTGCATATGGAAAGCCGTGTGTAACCCGCACTACCTGAGGGGGACTTGGGGAAGTCCTTTCGGATAGATGCGACCTACAACTCAGGCAGCTGCTCTCTCCCCTGCTCCTCTTTTCTGGCCACTTCCAGGCCTGGTGTGAGTTTGTGAGAGACACAGGGCTGCCCAGGGCCCTGTGTCCAGCCTTCCGGGATGCCCTGAGGAGAAGAGCCACCTGGCGGGAGGCCCAAGGGCTGATGGCCGGGCCACAGGAGCAGCGCCTGGTCCGGCCCTGCGTCCTGCGCTGGAGGAGCCGAGGGCAGCAGGGCCAGGCAGACAGACAGCAGAGGAGGGCCCGGGCCCGGCAGGCCTTCGGGGCATGGCGAGTGGCCCTGGGCCAGTGCCGTGAGGCCCAGCAGGTGGCCCTGTGCTGGACTCTGGAGCTCAGTGGAGCCCACACTACCCAGAGCCTGAGTGCCCAGTGAGTGCCCGAGGCCCAAGGGCAGTCCTGCATGGGGCCTCGGCTCAGGCTGTGAGCTCGGTTTTGGCAGGGACTGGGTGGCAGGTGGAGACCCAGGAACTGGTTGGGGGATGGGGAGAGGCCAGCCTGGCATTGCAGCTGGTCCTGGGGGCAAGTCCCAGCCTTGCCACTTTCTAGCTGGGGGACCCTCCTTGGGAAAGTCTCTGGACAGTCCTGACCTGCTTCGTGGCCAGATGTGTGCGACTGCTTTGCCCAGGGCTGGTCCCAGCAAGCGAGCTTGTGTTCTTGGGAGAGGAAGCAATGCGTGGCTGGCAGGACTGCCCCCTCTGCCCCTTAAATGGGGTGCTTGTCCCTGTTGGGCGATATTCTGCCCCCTCAAGCCCATTTAAGTCAACTGTGTGAAGAGGGCAGGGGAGGGCACAGGCCTGGGGCTTTGTGGGGCCTTCCTGCAAGGCACTCCCAAGAGGCCAGGCCCTGATGGCCTCCTCCAGGGCTCTTCCTTCTCCTCCAGGGCCCTAGCAGCCTGGGCCCAGTCAGTGGCCCAGGCCCATGCGAGCAAGCAGTCATCACCCAGCTCCGTCAGGCTGGGTGTGGGCGCCTCGTGCGGACCCACTGGGCCCAGTGGCGGACAGCACTGCTGAGTGCGACTGGACCTAGGGACTCAGGCCCAGGGCGCCAATCTTAGGTACTGGCCCAGACTGGCCAGCAGAGGGCGCCTCCTCCTGAAAGATGCTCTGGCCCCTTGGAGGCAGGTGAGGTGGGGCCTAGGTGGGCTGGGGAGATCTGCAAATGTCAGACCACCGATTGCAGCATCAGCTTATTCCAGCACATGGTGGGAGCATGCATGGGCACTTCCCAGAGCCCCAAATGCCTAACAGACTCCACCCCTTTGCGGCTCTCGCATGCTCTTGGCCCTGGGGAGCAGGCAGCACTGGGTCCTTCAGCAAACTTTACTGAGCACCTTTCAGGTACTGGGTAGGTGTGAGTCCCATTTGCTGGGGTCCCGGTCTGTTCAGGAGACAGACTCTTAAATTCACAAGACATCACGTACAGCCTGGGATCGAGATAGGTACGCACAGACCATTGCGTTTTTAATCGTTTTTTTTTAATTGGAAAAATTAAATATGCTCATTACAGAAAAAAAATCAAAATATAAAAGTAAAAAATTTCCGTATCATTTTCTCTATTCATAAGTAATCATCAGTCCCTCTCCAGATCTGATGCTGTTGGTTCTCACACTGGCAAACAGTGACAAGCCACCACCACAGCCAGGCATAAAAAACCCCGACACTGCCCAGGAGTCTGGGGACCATCATCAAGGGACACAGCCCCAGAGATGGGTGGCCCAGTAGTTTCCAAAGATCACCTGGCATCTTCAGAATGCCAGGAAGAGCAGAGTTTACAGATTCTGAGAAAAACGCTAAAGTGGTTTTTGTTCTTTCAGTGAAATCAGGAGGGAAGATTCAAGGGTTTTCAGAATTCACATAGACGGGTCAATAGCAACACCAGGGCCTGGGGGCTCAGGACATTGCATTTCTAGATGGGTTACAGGGGATTGTAATCTTTCTCACTTCTGTCAGCAAATCTTGTAAAGCTTAAGTACGGACAGTGACGGCCACCTCTCAGGGCTGGTCCTGGCCCAGGTAAGCTCTTATCAGTTCCCTCCTTTGACTGGATGTCTTCAGTGAGTGGGACAATGGGCCACACATCCCATGAGCACCTTCTCCATCTCCTCTGGGGGCCTCAAGGTTCATGGGAGGGCTCCCCCCATTAGGGTGCACAAATGGGGGGGGTCTTACTGGTGGGTGGGCAGGACAGCTGGGCACAAGCAGGTCCATGGCCCGGCTCAGGTTTTTTCTTGCTGTCATTTAGACACAAAGCTGCTGGCCACTGGCCACCGGCCACAGAGGCCACACTGCTTGGGCCAAAGCACAGCTGCAGTGGACAAAGGCCAGAGGGGACAGCAGCTGGGGCTCTGTAAGCAGACTCAGTCCCTGGGTGTCTCAGTGGCAGGGGTGGATGAGATATCGCCAGCCCTTGAGTGCCTGGAAATCAATCCCCTGGCCAATCTGGCTACCTGTATTTGCTGTTCTCCCCAGCCACTTCCTTTTTAATCCAGCTGTGTGGAGATTGCAGCTCCTTTCCCAGTGCAGCAGCCAGAGTCCTGGGGATGTGGGGAGGGGAGGCCCCAGGCTTCTCACTTGCTGCCTCTGCAGCAGCAACTCTGGCTGGCACTGAGGGAGCAGTTGCTGTCCTGAAGCAATGTGCTAACCTCTCTAATTCCCTTTTACAGGCTACACGGATTGTCCCCTCAGCCCTGTATTCCAGCTGTGGCTGCAGTGGCCTGGATGTAGTAGCTGGGCCCTCACAGCACCAGTGCTCTGTGGCTCTGAGACCAGAGGCCCCCAAGGCGAGGATCCTTCAAGCAGGCTGGGGTATGGGCAGCTGTGTGACCACACTAGGCAGGGAGGGAGGGAAGGGCCCGAGGCTTCTCTGGCTAGGACTCTGTCCCACAGGGGCCTGGAGGAGCAAGCACAGGCCCAGGCCCTCTCCCTGGCCTTGATGAGGTCATGATGCCTTGGCCACCAGAAGTACCCACGGTGCTGGAGCCTTGAGTTCTGCTCTGCAAATTCCAGGCCTCACAGTGGGTCAGGCTCCTGAGGGTGACATGGCAGTGCTGGGCAGGTGCTCGAGGGGCTGAGCAGCTGTCCTGGAGCCTGGTGAGTGGACTTGGCAGGCTCTCCCCACCCCACAGTGAGATCTTCACTGCATCTCCACCTCCTGACCCTAGAAACAGCACCGTGGGTGACACAGCTTTGTCACGTCCTGTCCACTGTGGTGCCAGAGCTGCAGGAGAGGCAGAGGGCTGGGGTGCTAGGGAGCATGGTGAAGGGGGCTCCTCTTGTCATTTCTGGTCACAGCTCCGGCAAGGCAACTGGGACAGGCCTGGAGGGCGTGGCGGCGGCAAGTCCTGCAGCTGCGAGTGGCCAGGCGGCTACAACAGCAAGACAGCTGGCTCCTTTCCCAGGTATAGCAGTGGCCCGGTGCTGGCCTTCCAACCAGGGGTACCGCTGGACACTGCTGAGTGGGGGGTTTCCCTGCTGGCCCCCTCGGTCCCTTTGTTTTCTGGGGAGGTGAATGTGCAGTCTGAATGGTGGGCCCCTGGATCTGACAGGTGGCCATAGGCTCAGCCAGTCTCCCCATCACTGGGAACAAGGCTTGACCTGTGGCACAGTGGCCGCCTGGGGCTTGGTCCCAAGTGCCCGCCAGCACCCGCTCCTCTTCACTGCTTGGAGCAAGGCTTCCCAGGTCACAAGTCAGATCTATTCTGAGCCTGTGTGTTTGGCCTGGCTGCCTAGGACAGGAGGTGGGGCCTCCACAGGGACTGAAACAGTCAAGCACAGTAGGGCCTGGAGGATGCCTGAGACAGCCTTTCCTGTCCCTCCCTAATTCCGGGCCTTTGAGAGATGGCACCAGCACCTGGCAGCCAGGAGCCCAAAGAGAGGAGCCACCAGCAGCCCAGGCCCCGGGCAGGTGGGACACCAGGGGTCCTGGAACAGGGACCAAGCCCTGTGGAGTGCATGGGGCAGGACCAGCTCCCAGCTGCAACCCCGACTTGCTCCCATGGACTAAAAAGCAGAACTGAGTCCAGGAAAGGAACACGTCCACGGAATGCAGTGACAGTGCTAGGAGCCCAAGCACAATAAAGGCCTCCTTGGTTCTAGCTGCTTCTCTTGTGGCCTCCTAAAGCTGCCCCTCCACCACAGCCAGCTGGGCCCCACTGGGTGCAGGTCTCCCCACTGAGCTAGGCTTCCAGGACAGCAGCAACCCGCCTGCACCTGAGGTCACTTCCAGACAGTGCAGCCGGGTGCTGAGTCCTGGGGAGGGGTGCCAGGGGTCAGCTGGCAGGAGGAGCACCTACCTAAAAATAAGCCAGCAAGGGCTGTGTACTGTCCTGGGCTGAGCTAGGGTCCCTGTCAGTGTTGCCTGACAGTTACTGGGACAGAAGAGAAAGCTGGGGGCCCCACAAGCTCGAGGGTTGGGATTGCCTTTAGCCTTTGATCTCTCTGGCCACCAGAACACAGGCAGCTGTTTTAAAGAGCAGCACTGGAGAAGGACACACCCAGCTGAGGTCTCCTTGGATGCTAGGTGCCAGCCCAAGGCCCATCCATCCCAGGGCCTGATGCTGTGGCCAGCCAAGCAGAAGCCAGGGCAATGGTTTTCCCCTTCAGTCACAGGTCCTGGGGCCCTGCTGCCACTCCCAGAAGGTGGCACTTCACTCTTCTTCAATCCCACAGGGGCTGCTACCCATGCTTTCCCTGCTCATCCTGCAGGGGCCCAGAGTGCAAGTTTGCTGGGAGCCCCAGGCTGGCCTCCAGAGGCTTGACTGCAAAACCAGTGTCCTCCTCTTCCCAGGGATGTGCCATTCACTGTGGTCCCCTGCAGCACAGAGGTGCCCCTCATTGACAGAGCACGAGATCCTGGCTAGTGCAGGAGCACCAGGCTCCCACAGGGGCCAACTCCGGTCCAGCCAGAGCCCAGTCATGCCAGTGCAGCTGCTATCCTCACATGGCCAGTGGGGGTCAGGCTTGGGGGTACATGGGAAAGCCAGGACTGGGAGGGCCGGATGCAGGTCACTGCGCCTCCGCCTCCCCCTTGAGCCCAGCAGGCCTGTTGAGCAGCTCGAATGCGTCCTCCACCACCTGCCACAGGCAGCTGTCCTGCGGGAACTCATTGTCCACCAGGTTGACCAGGAAGTAGTTGTCGTGGATGTACTGGATGATCATGCGGGATGGGGACTCCTCATCGTACAGCTTGCCCCACTGCTCGATCCACAGGGCGAAGGCCTCATCCTACACACAGAGGTGTGGGCACATATGGACACACACACGTGCACACACACGTGCGAGTTCAACAGGATGCCCCAGGCCAGGCCTCCCACTGCTAAACACCAAGGGCTTCTGCTGCTGCCTTAGCGGACAGATCTGGGGACAGAGCAAGGCCAGGGACAGTGCCACTCTCACCTGCCCCAGAAGTAACCACCACGAGTGAGCATGTGTGGCCTTGAAGGCTGAATCTGGTGGCCCCAGGGGTGCAGCCTTTAGCCACATCCTTGGGACAGGGCAATGCTGTCTCTTTGGGAGTTCTCATTGTGGGTGGGGCCCCTTCCAGTCCTTTACCTTCCAGAACATGAAGCTGACAGGATCCACCACCGTGGGCTGGATGATCTCTCGTCCCGGGAAGATGCCCCACGTGACGGCATTGGGCTGCAGCTCGGGGGCATTGGTGATGTTCTCACCCTGTGAGGGTGGAGGACAGGTGTGGGGCAGAGCCAGCTGCAGCCCTTTCACTGAGCAGCTCCCCACTCAGGGGTGGCACTGGCCAGCTCTCACCTATCTTACCTGTGCCACCCCCTGGGGCTGCCACCAGCCCCCGTGGCCCTGCGATCACCCACATAGCTGTTCACTGCCATCTGCCTAAGACAAAATGGAGCCACGCAGGCCACTGCTGGAAAGCTGCTCCTTGCCTCTAGGACACCCACATATTCCAAGTAGAACAACCACCCCTGGACCCTGATAAACGCTTCCCCTTCCTCTTTCCCATCTCAGATGGAGACTACAGCTTGAGGCCGTGCCCTTCCCCCCCGCTGGCCAACTCCTCTTTGTCCCTAAGATTCAGGCCACACAGGACCCCTCCCAGAAGCTTCCTGACCTCCCAGATTGTTTTTCTGATGCTGGGGATTGAACTCAGGGCCTTAGAAAGAGGACCTTTTGACACCAAAGGGGACTTTTAATTTGGTTTTTAACAACTCAGGCGTTTGTTTTTATTTTTTTATTTTTTGGTACCAGGGATTGAACTCGGGACCTTGTGCTTGCAAGGCAGGCACCTGAACCACTGAGCTAGATCCCCGGCAGGGGTTTGTTTTCATTTCTTTGTTTGTCTTTATTTTTATTTTTTCATTTTATTTTTGCAACTCAGTTTTAAAACATGAACTGGAGGGGAGCAGGTGGGGCTGGGTGGAGGGCTGGGGCCTGGCCAGCGCGTCCCCTGGAGGGAGCACCGGGTCCTCTAGAGGCCAGGCCATGCCAGCCCTGACCTCCCCTGCCTGGGACCAGGCTCAGCCAATCAGTGTCATGGAATAAAATCAAGTGTGAAGTGCCAAAAAAAAAAAAAAAAAGTTACATCCCTATGCCCCTCTTTTTTATTTTTTAAAAATTAATTATTTATTTTTGGTTTTTTGAGACAAGGTCTCACCATGTAATTCAGGCTAGTCTTGAATTCACTACATAGCCCAGGCTGCCCTCCAACTTTCAGCGATCCTCCTGTCTCAGCCTCCCAAATATACCGATTACAGGTGTATGCACTATGCTTGACTCTTATATTTTTAATTTTGAGACAGGGTCTAAGTTGCCCAGGCTGCGCTTGAATGTGCAACCCTCCTGCCTCAGGTTCCCAGCACGCGCCACCAGGCCCGGCTGACCTTCCAGGTCTGACATCCTTCCTCTGGAACCTACAGCATCCTGTACTGAACTTTGTTTTCTTGCTCACGCTATCCTCACCTGCTGTCCGCTCACTAGGCCGGGAGCTCTCTGGGGCCAGGGGCCTGACTTTGACTGTTTCTGGTACACAACATGCTTGGCCTGGGGGAGGCAAGCGGAGTCAACGTGGGTGCCATGGAGCCAGGAATCCACTTACCTTCACATCCACGATGTGGTAATTGACCCGAAGCTCGTACTTCTTCATCACCTGCAGGAGTGCCTCCACTGTCTCTCGGGAGGTGAAGAACTCCAGGTAGGCCTGTAGGGGCATGGGCAGCCCACACATCAGCACCAGCTTCTCATGATGCCCTTCCTGGTGCCCCACCAGGCCCCACCCAGGGAGGGGCCACACAGGGACGTGTAGCGCCCTGAGTCACCCGGATTAGAGGACACGCCCAGGACCAAGTAGGAACTGTAGCGTCGGGGACTACAAGGGAGAGGGGAGCAGCACTCAGGGTTTCTCAGTCTGTACCCATCTCTGTGCCACGAAAGGAGTGGGCGTCCCAGAAGCTCAGCAGAAGGTGTGACAACTACGGATATGAGAAGCCTGACACAGTCCAGCCTCCCCAGTGCCGGACGCTGAGGGCGCCATTACTGTCTTCTCCAGCATGAGAGTCTGTCTTTTATTTCTGTTCATTTGCTAGGATGTTCATAATCTTGCGAGATGGGCACAGTGTCCCCAGATGAGGAAACCAGCTTTGGGGACCCTGAGTCAGTGGGCTGCACTGACAGGGCACAGCAGAGCTGGTATTAAACCAGGGCCGTCTGAGTCGGGGGCCGTGGGCTTGAGTTCCACAGGAGTTAACTCCAGCACCCCTGAGAGAAAATGTCACCCCAGCAGCCCAGTCTGGGTCCCTACTCAGTGGCTGCTTCCTGTGTTCCTGCACATTTCATCCCTGGAACATGAAATACGGCCCATTTTACAGAAGATAAAACGGAGGCTCAGCGACCTGCCTGCCTGGTCTGTTCACTCTAAAGCCTGCGCTCCTACGCACTCTGCTCCACTGTCACTTAAAATAAAGGGTCCAGGGCCGGGGATTTAGCTCAGCGGTTCCAGTGCCTGCCTCACAAGCTCAAGGTCCCAAGTTCGATCCCCAGTACCAAAAACTATAAAATAAAATAAAGGGTCCAGGCGGGAAAGGCCGAGCTGTGTCTTGTCCCAGGGAAGGCCTGGTGAGGGTCAGGGTGGTCAGCCCCCACATCCCCCTACCTTCTGGAAGACGTAGCCCCCGCTAGGGCCCCAGCCCACAATGGGGTCGGACGACGGTCTCCCGTTGACGTTGGGCTGGGAGTTGACGGTAAGGATGCCCAGCCGGTTCACGCGCAGCAGCTGCTTCTTCATCAGGCTGGTCTCGGCTGCCAGGGGCTCATCGTTCCAGGGCAGGCAGGTCACCTGGGGTGAGGGTGAAGCCGGCTGGGGCACTGGGTCAGGACCCTGGCTCCTCCCTCCCTGGGCTGCCAGAAACGCCACCTATCTTTGGCTCGCCAGCCCCATGGGGGGGACTTCCCTATTCACCCACATCCCCTTGCTGAGGTGCCACAGCTGGGGACATGGTGGGGGGAACCGGGGACCCCAGCCCGTACTGCTCACCTTGTACCCGTGCCGGTTTGGCTCCCCTGAGATGTAGTGCGCGAAGACTTCGAAGACGCTCTCCTCGCTCCTGAGCTCCTCACCCCACATCTTCAGCAGCTCCTGCCGGGGCGACTTGCTTTTCAGGTAGAAGAGGTAGTAGTTCTTCAGCTCCCCAAAGGCTGGCGAGGAGGAGTTGCCCCTGGCAGGGAGGCGCCCACAGGTCAGGATACAGCCCACCCCCGGGCTCTCCGGTGCCCGGGTGGCCGCTGCCATCCATCCTGCCTGCCTCCTCCCGGGAACGCCCGGCTGGACAGGTTGCAGGCCCTCACCAGCGGCCGTTGGGAAACTCATTCCAGTCCTGGGTGCGGTAGATGTAGCTCTTTGGTCTGGAAGCCCAGAAGATGGGGCGCACATCTTCCTCTCGGCGCTTGGGGTGTGCGCTGACGGCCCAGGGGAGGGGACGCCTGGTAACAGTGGAGACAGAAAGGACCAGGGATTGGCTGCAGAGCAGGAGGGAGGAGGCACCACCCAGCCTGGCTCCCTGGGCCTGGTTCTGACACAGCCAGCCGTGGCACACAGGCGGCTCCATCCTACCGCGGCGCTGCTGCTTCTCTGCAGCCTCTGCCCTCACCTGGGGTCCTCAGTCCACATGCCCAGGCGCTTCAGCACGCTGGTGGTGGCCATCTTGCGGTTAAGGGTGTAGAAGTGGAGGCCTGGCACCAAGCCGCTGACTAGAAGCTCCCGGCTCAGGCTCACGGCCAGCTCGATGCCATAGTTGCAGATGGCAGCGTCATTGTCTTTGATCGGCTCGATCACATCCTTGATCTCCTGCGGTACCTCCAGCTTGGACAGCTTCACAAGCTGCCGGAGGGAGGAGTAGCTCTGCCCGATACAGGGAGAAGTGGGGTCACCCCTGGCCGTCTCCCACCCTAAGACTCTTCCCTTTCCCATTCCCGCCAGGTCTCCTGGACCCTGCAGTGTCACTGGAGGGACTCGGGAAAGTCAGGCTGTGTGCAGGGCTATACTGGGCTGATTCTGCTTCCTCTACTTTTTGCAGAGTCGCCAGCTGCCATCAGCCTGGGCCAGCTCATTACCCTGAGCTGTATTTACTGATAACACGGTGGTCACCTAACCCACTGTTCCCAAGCTTTGCTGACCATCAGAATCACCCAAGCTTAAGAAGCAAAATTCAAGGGGCCAGGAATTTAGCTCAGTGGTTCCTCTGCCTGCCTCGCAAGCCCAAGGACCCGAGTTCAAACCCCGGTACCAAAAAAAAAAAAAAAAGAAGCAAAATGCAGGGGTCAGGGATTTAGCTCAGTGGTTCCGATGCCAGCCTTGAAAGCACAAGGTCCAGAGTTCAATCCCCGGTACCCAAAAAAAAAAAAATGCAAGTCTGCTGCTCCCCCCAGAACTACCAGGGTGGGGGGCCTGGAACCCCAGCTTTGGCAAAAGCTTAGAAAAAGGATTCTGATGATAGTCACAATCCTTCGTGGTGACACTTGTCAGCATGCTGAAGTACAGGCCTCTCACAGACGCTGATGCTGTTTTAGGGGGAACATCTGCGGGACAGTGAGGTATAGCACACCAAAACCATGCTGTGCCTGGCCCCCACTTCTACCTGATGGGAAGGACTGTAGTGCACTCAGCACTCCCCCAGAGCCCTGGCCTTGCTGAGGAGGGGAGTGGGGGAGCTGGGGACCCTCACCTGGATAGGGAAGATCCCGGGGAGGATGGGGCAGGTGATGCCGATGTCATCACAGGCCTTCACAAAGTGGAAGAAGGTGTTGGCCTCAAAGAAGAGCTGGCTAATGATGAAGTCGGCGCCTGCAGACACCTTTTCCTTCAGGTGCCTCAGGTCCTCCTCAAAGCTCCCTGCCTCGGGGTGGCCTTTGGGGTAACCTGCCAGTAGGGAGGACATCAGGGAGAGACTGGCCTGGGGCTCACACTCACACTTTCCAACAGCATAGTGAAACAGGCGAAGTGGACAGCTGGGTGGTTGTGCCCTGTGACCCGGAAGGTGACCCTTGTGGGAGAGGGGTGGATTGCACTAAATGTCCCTCACTGTCCTGGCTCAGCCAGCCAGGCAAAGTGGGCCTGCACTTTGCTGCCATGGAACAAAGGAACTACTACGTTTAGGACCAGTCAGGTGGCTTCTGGGGCACTGGGTTCGACTCTAGGCACTGGATCAAAATATTGTTTTGAAGGTAACCCTAAAATCCTTCAGGTGTCCAAGACAGTAAATAGTTGGGAACCACATTACATAAGGAAGGACAAGAAAATGGGGAAGTTCTGCTCCAAGAAATGAATGGAGCAAGTATAGAAACTACTTTCAAATGTCCAAAGGCCCTCTAGCTTTGTGAACTGACTCCTTCCCAATGGCGGGAGTGACCGGCAGCCCTGCATGGCCTTCATGCAACCACAGAGGCTGTGCTGGCTTCTGCCTGAGCCCAGGCAGGTCCTAAGCTATGCAGGGCGCAGCCCTGAGCCCAGGGCTGCTGGGAGGGAGGCCAGGCTGCTTTGCTGTGATAAGGTAGTTCCGTTCTTCAGCAACCTGGAGCCATCAAAAATGCTATAAAAGCTACCGTTTCAAGGGGTAAGGGGATAGGGGTGGGGGAGGGAATTAGGCACAAGGATTTCGCTTTCAGTAACAAAGCTATTTTTCCAGTAGGAAATTCAGAAACTCTACAGCTATACAGCATACTCGCCAAACAGATCCAGCCGTTGATTACATTTGTTTTTTGCTCACTTGACTATATTCTTTTTCTGTCATCTCCAGTGTGGTACTTTTTTGTTTTTTTGGTACCGGGGATTGAACTCAGGACCTTGCGCTTGCAAGGCAGGTGCTGGAACCACTGAGCTAAATCCCCGGCCCCAGTGTGGTACTTTTTAATCCGCTGATCTTATCATGCACAGCAAAGCCTAAAACCACTAATGCCCCCCACTAGTGCCATGTGCAGACCCCATCTAGCTGCCTGCATCGGGTCAGGAAGGAGTGAGGACGACTGGAACAGGTGGAGGTGCTGCTCCCTTCCTGACTCCCATCACTGCTTCCCAGTCTTAGCCACCACCTGGGCAGCCCTGTTGACAGAGGAATGGACACACGCGAGAGGACTGGGAAAAGACGGAAGTCACCTGCAACAAGTAATGTTCCTGCAGCCACAGAGCTTATTTTAAAAATTCAGATTGAGATGTTACTCTACAATCTAGCCATGTTTTAGTATAAAAATGGCATGATTCTCCCCCAAAATATATGAGAAAAGTGGTCATTCCAAGATGTATCAAATTAAAAAAAAACGAAAATAGCGACAGGTTAATAGATTTAATAAAAAAAAAAAAAAAAAGATGTACCAAATCAACGCAGGGAGTTCTCGAGTCCTTGGCACACATGGCCGCTTTGAGAAGCGAATGTCCCACTTGCTGTGTGGGGTGAGAGGGGAGGCCACCCCATTTCTGCTGGTGAGCCTGCCCTCCTGGCTGCAGTGGAAGGAGCTACAGCTGAGCCAGCCTGGGAGTCTGGAACTGACACCGAGAGCTGTCACTTGTTCTGGCTACTGGCTGGGACCGACACCGTGTACATTCAGAACAGGTCACAGTCATGTGCACAGAAATGCGTGACCATCGGGTCTTCTGGAAGGAGCAGGGAGCAGACTGCAGGGGGAGCAGAGATGGGGATGCTGCAGATACTGACAGAATGGGAAGGGCCTCACTTCCTGAATGGTTCCAGTGCCACTGCAGTGGGGGCTGACGCTATTTCCTGACCTTGGCTTCTGGGACTCCCTCGAGTCCTCTTAATAAACTTCCTTTCTGCCGGAGAGAGGGCAGGAGGGCTGGGAGCACTCAGGGCAGAGGAACAAAAGCTTTAGGGCTGGTGAGGCACAGGATGAGGACAAGAACAGTGCGCGAAGCCCCTGTAGCTCAGGTGCATGCCCTCGTCTGGCAAGGGCTCAGGCCCACGGGCGCACCTAATCGCCACGTCTTGGCCTGAACCAGCTCCCCCAGCTTCTCCTCTCCCCTGCCCATCTGCACCCACTCACCTGCCACACAGATGTCAAAGTAGTCACCAAACTCGCTTCGGATGTGCTTCACTAGGTCTGTGGCATGGTCAAAGCCTCCTTCTTCTGCTTCCCACTGGTCACCTATGGGGTCTATAGGGTTCCTAGAGGTCACAACTGAGTCTTGCCCGACCCCTAGAGAAGCTCTTTGCCCCCTCTGTCCACCCCTGCACCTGGGGCCAAGCTTCACTGTAAGGATCTCCTCTTCGTTGCCTCCCAGTTGGCAAGATCCCTCACCTGGCCCTGCCACCCTCCCTGCTGTCCTGCAGCTCCTGCCTCCTGTGAGAACTTCCTACTCATCTCAATCGAGAAGTAGCCCCATGGTGGGCGCACGAGGGCATACACTCCCTCCTACCCATTAGGTTTCTTCCACCCACTCCCAGTGGCCCCGTGACAGCAGGCACCAAAGAGACTCCTGGCTGAATGCCAGGGCTATACTCCGTGACCACATGGAGGCAGGCCATGGGGCTATTAGGCCCTGGCCACACCTCAGCATGGCCTACATCCAGGTCTAGAGGTGGTGGAGGCAGTGTCCATGGTGGACTCTGCCCACAGTGCCCGCTGATCTGCAGGCAGGAGGGCACCCTGACTGAGCACGGCCATTTGGGGGGCCCTGTTCCAGACACAGGAGAGGCCTTGGGAAAGAAGAACCCCGGGAGGAGGGTGATGCTGGCTCCACACCTCCCCGCAGCGCCAAGATGCTCTTGATGCCCAGCTGCTTGGCTTTGTACAGGTGGCCTGTGATCGCCTCCGGGCTCTGCTGGCAGCACGTCATGTGCAGCATGGTTTCCAGGCCACAGTAATTCACAGCCGTGCTGGCGATCATCATGGAGGACGTTTCCTTATCCGAGCCAGGGTCCCCCGCTGGGTGCCAGGTCACATCTATGAAGAGGGGGCCACCTGCTGCCATCTGGTCAAACCTGGAGGGGATTTCTCTCTGAAAAGAGGCTCCCGGGGACAGCACCCTCCCCACAACCTGCTCATGGGGCCTAGGAGCTGGAGCGCACAGGTGCAGGCTGGAGGCAGAGCAACCTGTGTTCGTCTCCCAGCTTGGCTACTTATTACCTCTGTGCTGCTGAGCACACTACCTAAATCTCTCTGAGCCTCAGTTTCAGTATTTATAAGATGTGGCAAGGTGGGCATGGTGGTGCATACCTGTAATCTCAGCACTAGCGAGGCTGAGGCAGGAGGACTGCCACTAAGTTAGAAGCCAGCCTGAACTACATATCTCAAAAAACCAAAACCAAAACCAAACAAAAGCAAAGGCAGATGGCTGCACAGTGCTTAGAGCCTGGGGTACACACAGTGAGTGTTCGGCAAGTGTGAGCCACTATTACTATGATTACAGAGATCACGTGTAACAGCCTCGCCACCATTCTTTGTGAGCAGCGCCACACACTCCTCACTGTTTGCATGCTGATAATCTTGAGGAAGTTGAGCCATTTCCATGACTGAGAGTCGGGGAAGGCGGTCCTCAGTGGAGGCAGAGCCTCCCTCCACGGACAGGAAATGAGAGAGTCCACAGACACAAGTCTGTTTTGTGTTGCCACCCTGGTCCCAGCATAGCAGCTCAGAGACCCAGGTTCTGGAACGAGGTCAAGAGCCTGTACCAAAACCAGGGGTAGTGGTGCATGGCCGGGACCCCAGCACTGCGGGAGGCTGAGGATCACAAGTTTCAGCCTGGGCAACTTATGGACTGAGAAAGACCTTGTCTCAAAATAAAAAATAAAAAGAGGGGGGGCCTGGAAGTGTAGTGCAGTGCAAAGGCATCGAGCTCAAAACAAACAAACAAACAGGCATTGAGTTCAAGTCTTAGTACTGCAGGGAAAAAAAAAGGGAAAGAAAAAAAAGAAAGCAAGTTTGTATTTGCACCAGCACTTGTTACAAGTTATAAGTGTTCTGTAGCTGAGATTACAGGAGTGCATATACTGCTGTATTAAATGTCCTTACACCTTTAAATTTCAGAACCGTGGGAGCAACACATGAGAAGCACAAATGGTAAAAGGCATAATTTTTTTAAAGAAGGAACTGAAATTCATAAAGTGCTAATGTAATTCATTTGGCATTTACAGATTTCAAGAGGCATAATCCAAATTACAAACTTGCTGCAAACTTTCTCTGAGTTGCTCTTTGTGATTTCCTAAACCACACATGATCTGGCCCCAATTCTGCCAAAGAACGCAGTCTGAGAGAATCAACATTTTTATCCCATTTAAGTGTGTCTAAAGATAGAGATATCTGATGCAAAAAAATAGCTATCATCAGAAATAAGTAATAACAAATGCTAACTAGGCTACAGGAGAAAAAGGAACCCTTCTACATTGCTGGAGGGAATGTACAACCCTTATGGAAGTCAGTATAGACATTCCTCAAAAAAGTAAAACTAGCCGGTATGGTGGCGCATGCTTGTAATCCCAGCACTCAGGAGGCTGAGGCAGGAGGATTGACATGAATTTGAGGCCAGCCTACACTACATAGTGACATCCTGACTCAAAAAACTGAAACAAAATGAAAACTAAAAATTCCATTTGACCCAGCTGTTCCCCTTCTATTTATCTTTCTGAAAGAGTTAAAGAAATCATAGCACAGGGATACATGCTTACACATGTTCACACCAGCATAATTCATTATAGGTAAGGACTAGAATCAGCCTGTATGCCCAACAACAGATGAATGAAGAAAATGGATGCATCTTGAGATCATAATACTAAGTCAAATAAATCAGACACACAAGCTTAAATATTGCATGGTTTCTATGAGAAACCCCAAATATAAATAAAGAGCAAAATAAAGGATAGGTAACAGGAAACAGGGAGATAGATCTTTTGCAAATGCAAAGGGGAGCCAGAAGTGGAGGGAGGTGGGGCAGGGGAAGAGGAGCTACAAATGAAGGGGGTGTGAAAAAAGAACTAAGATGTGTTATCCATGTGTACTAACTCCACAAAAGGAATGTGATCACTATGTACTGCAAACACGTACTAATAAAAATATACACTGAAAAAAACCCCAAAAAACAAGGCACTGCCAAAAACAACAACGACAAAAACCCCGTATCTGATGGAGAGGAGGGACTTTTAGGGACAACTGAGAAGATGCCGATCAGATGACCTCTCAGCTCCTTCTGGCTCCCCGCAGGCGCCTTTTCCTGCCCGGTCAAAGAGCAGCTGGGGCGCAGGGCTGATAGTTCACCCCTCCCCCAACCCCTCATCCTTTCACCAGCTCACATGGAGATGAGGTTGGCGGCTCCCTCCGAAGTCCGGGGAGGGAAGAATTCCAGGGAGAACCATTTGTCCCCAGATTCCATCCTCCGCCTCATCTTCTCCCGGAGTCTCTCGTGACGCTCGGGGTCCAGGCCAGGGGTGGAACACCTCGAACTGTCCTTAGAGCCCTCGCTGCCACTGCTGCTACCGCCACTCCCTCGAGCCTCGTTCACCATGGTCCAGGTCCTGCTGCACGGGGTGGGGCAGGGGCATCAGAGGGCGGGCAGCGGAGCCCGAGCAGCAGTTCCAAGCGAGGGACTCGGCATTTCTAGGCAGCAGGGAGACTGACGCTGTCCCTGCCTGGCGGCTCCAGCTCCACAGTAGGGCCCTTTGCTGCTGACGGCCCCCACCCGGCTCGGAAACATGCTCCTTCAGCCCACGGGTCCTCGGTGACAGCTACCTGATGGGGGGTGGCACAGAGTACCTCGAGATGCCTGCCTTGGAGGCCCACATTCCTAGGGAAGGGCAGCGGGGTCCAGCTGCAGGGACCCTGGGTTTTCCATGGTCCATCTCGGCCAGCTTAGACCCAGAGTGAGTGGGGAGGGAACAGAGGAACCTTCCTTAGCGGGTGTGCCCAGCTGGGCGGAGCTGTGACAAAGGAAGAGCAGGGCTGAGGCCTGCGGAGGGGGCGGGCGGAGGCAAAGGCTCCAGGATCAAAGAGGGAGGGCGTGGGTGGAGAAGGCGCTGGAAGGAGGGACGTGGGGCTGGAGCTGCAGTCAACAGACATTTGGGGTCACTGAGTGCCTCCCAAAGAAGGAAGGGCTCTCTCTGGCTGGCCCGGCCTGGAACATCTCCTGTTACAGTGTGTGTGCAGGGCGGAAGGGGTGAGAGCTTAGCCAGGCAGCCGGATTTCCAGGCAGCCAGAGTTCATGCTGCTCCAAGAAAACCACTGTGGTGTGGGTTAGAGTGCGATGCTGGCTTTGCTCCAAAAGCAGCAGATCAAATTCGGTAAGGGCACAAATTTATGTCGAAGGGAACAAAAGCTGTTCCATCTGGGCCAGTGCCGCAGATGGTTCTTCCAAATACCACTGAAGTGGTCAGAGCAGCTGCAGAGCCACCATACAGGAAGAAGGGCACAGTGCTGTATGGCAGTTTGGGGGGGAAAGTAAGATAAACACTTATGACACTACCCTGAGTTCGATCCCCAGTACCAAAAAAAAAAAAAAAAATCTTAAAACGCTACCCTTGCTCAGCATGGCAAACCCAGTAGTGAAAATCAGTGCGTGGATCAACAGAAGGACGGGTCAGGCCCATTCCTCCAGGGAACATCTGTGCCTAAGTGGGTACAGTTTAGCAGTTTAGGCCCTAGAGAATCATGGGACCTACTGCCCCCTCTCCCCCGAAACACGCAAGTGCAGAGTACACTTGGGTGCACCTGAAGTCAAGGCAATGACTGCAGACTAAGCAGCCGTGGGCCAGTGCTTTCTCCCCGGCTTTGTTCTTTGTTCTGACCGGCAGTATAGCTCATCGGTATAGTGTTTGCCTAGCACACACCACGCCCTGGATTCTATTCCCAGTATGGCAAAAACACTCTGGCTGCCACTGTTCCCCTGCTCTGCTTCTCAACCACCATGAAGTGAGCACCTTGCACCACCACGCCCCTCCTCCATGTTTCTGCCTCAGAACCGGCCAGCTACACATTGGATCCCCTGAAACCATGGCAAGTTAAACAGTCCTCCTTTAAGTTGTGGGTGTCGGGTATTTCGTCCAGGGACCACAAGTGGACTAACACACTCCAGATTCCCAGGGAGGGGTGAGAAAGGGGAATGGCAGAGCAGCCAGCTGGCCTTCTTCCTGCCTTCAAGGGAGTGCCTCATTAATTAACTGCCTGCTGGAACAAAACCTGGAAGACGAGGAGGCTGTACCACTTGCAAACTGTCTTCTCTTGAAAGAGTCACTGTTTCCCAAGTGTGTGCCAGGCACGCGCCATGTCATACCCTCTTTCCAACAACACCATTTATCCATTTTAAGCTGGGCTCCCATGGCACCCAGGGTTGTAACTGTGTAACGGGGTCCCAGAGGCTGGACCTGCAGATGCCCAGTGGGTAACTAAAAGCCGGATGCAGCTCGACATCTTTGCCTTCATTTTTTATTTTTTTTCATCTCCTTTATTACCTAAAAACTTTGGGTCAAATATCTGCTCACAGCAGAGCTGCTACTTACTTCAGGAATGTCTGCAATACAGGTTTATTGGCTCTAAATTTATCTAGCCTCTCTTCAAGACTGAGGACATCAAGATAAAAGTAATTTCCAGGATTTGTGAGGACATCCAATTACAGCAATGCCTAGCAGTTTCCAGACACTGTCCTAAACCCGCAATCATCTTGGATTCCAGGAAATGGGGGGCCTCATGGACCACCCATGATGAAGTCACCCTCCACCCAAGCAGGAGCAATCACTCCATGCCAGGACAGGGGGCTGCCCCCAACCCCGCAAGAATCATCCTGTCACAGGCACTGAAACTTCCTCTCAAGCCAGGGTTTTCAGAGCTAAGAAACCAGGAGTGAGATAGTGAGATCCCAGCTCCTGCCCCATAAAAATGGTCCCCATTCTTTTCTTTTTTGGGGGGGGCGGTGCTGGGGATTGAACTCCCCCATTCTTTTCTTAAAGAGTTAGTTAGATCTCTACAGCAGACCTGGGCCACTTTCTGATGCTTAAACTGAAGTCTTTTCTCTATTTTCTTTCACTTTCCTTTGTTAAGCAAATTCCCTTTGCAGTTTCTTTTACTTTCAAATGAAAGCCTTTTGGCTGAAAATTGCTGTCTCAGTTTTACTTTCCGTTATCACTAAAGCAAGGACCCTAGCTAGTCAGCCAGTTTTTCCATGTGACAATTGTGGGTTATAAGTCTGTCTCCCTCAGTTCCCTGAGGCCAGGACTAGGTATCCTGCCTATGGCATCCCCTGTGCCTGGCACAATCAAAACACCTACACTCAGCACCGACAGGCCAGGTGCTCAAATAACCCCCTGCCATACTCAGACTGTGCCCAAAATGGTCTAAGTGGATGTCAATGTGCAGTAGGACCCATGGGCACTGGGTCAGCAGTGCCAGCAGCATACTATTCTTCTCCAGGTGCTCACGGGACACAAGTTTAGAAGGCGAGGGCCTCTTTTGTAGGACTCTGGCTGAGGCGGGAGCGTTGCAAGTTCCAGTCGAGTCTGAGTAATTTATTAATTCAGTGAGACTCTTGTCTTGACAGAAAAAAAAAAAGGGCTGGGGATGTAGTTCAGTGGTGGAGTGCCCCTGGCTTCAAAGCCAGTATCTAAGAAAAAAAGATAGGGCCAGGAGCCTGGGCGCCCCGGGTACCCTGAAGGAGGGAATCAGGTCACTAGGACTAGGTCACCAGCGGGGGCGAATATGCGGGTCCAGGCCGGTGGGGGCAGGACGCTGGGACCCCCCCACTTAGAAAATAGGGGCCGCCTCTGGCGCACCCCACCCGCAAGCAGGTCTCCGCCCCTTGCAGAGGATTCCCGGCTCCGGGGCCTCCCTCCCCGGCCAGCCCTAGACGTCGCTGGCACTCACCGTGCTGTTGCGGTGACGGAATGCCCGCTCGCCGCAGCTGCGTGCCCGCGAAGGAGATGAGTGCGGAAAGGGGGAGGCGATCGGAGCAGGACGCTCAAATCTGTTGCCAAGGCAGGTGGGATCAGAGGGCGGAGCCACCCGTGCTGGCGACCGGAAGTCCCGCCTCCAACATGGCCGCCCCCAGAGGTTTCATTAGAAGCTGTCTCTTTCCCGTCATGTGACGCGACCCTCGCTCCACCCGTCTGCAGCCACTCCCCGTCTTCGTCCCCAAGCTCGAGAGCGACACGTGACCCTCCCGGGGCCAGTCACGTGAGGAGCGGATCCCGGTTGGGAGGGGGTAGGCAGAGGGGTCTGGAGTGGCAGTAAAAGAGGAAGATGGCGGGTTGCAGGGGGTCTCTGTGCTGCTGCTGCCGGTGGTGTTGCTGCTGCGGTGAGCGTGAGACTCGCACCCCCGAAGAGCTGGTAAGGAGCGGGCGGGGTAGGGCTGGGGAGGGGGCGGTTGCTAAGGGACGGAGAGAGGCGTTGCCGGGGGTGGGGCCGAGGCGGGCTGGGCCCGCAGGTGGCAGCGGGTGGGGCTTGGGGACCGCAGTCGGGCAATAGAGCATCAGCCCTGCCTCACGTGCCTTAATTTGAGGTCTTTGCTCATAACCCATCCCTGGACTCTGAGGGCGAATCCAGGCCAATTCCAATTAATCCCTTCCGTATTTTAATTTATTTCCATTTGAAAGGAGTTTTGAATGACACGCATTTTCAGAATGAGCCCTTTCACAGGACTTGTGCTCATGGTGCAGTTGGCTTAGTTTCTACAGCCCCTTCTCACTCCATCCTTCACTCACCCTTTCTGGGTCACTGACAGTCCGGCTTTCCCTTGCAAAGCAACCTGGGAAAACTTATTTATTTATTTATTTATTTTATTTTTTGGTACCGGGGATTGAGCTCGGGACCTTGCACTTGCAAGGCGGGCGGCGGAACCACTGAGCTAAATCCCCGGCCGAGCCTGGGAAAACTTGAGTTGCTGTGTCCCCAGAGTTTACAGGTTTCTTCTTATTTCAGATTGGCTCATTGTCAGATAGATCCTGAAATTTCTCCCCCTTAAGCTGGCGGTGGATATCTGAGTTGTCCTGAGATGAGAGTGTTTATTTAGAGAATGTATCAGTAGAAATGAAGAGCTCAGCTGGATTAATGCCCCATCCACACGCCTCCCCATCCAAGCTCAAAAAGGTTTTTTTGTTTGGTTGGGTTTTTTTGGTACCGGGGATCGAACTCGAGACCTTCCGCTTACGAGGCAGGCGGTCGCACCACTGAGCTAAATCACCGGCCCTCAAAAGGGTTTTTTGACGTCTTGTTCTTTCTCTTTGATAAAGGATCCAGCTGGTTTGGAAGCTAGCAATTGATTTTGTACTTTTTTCCACTATCGTGTGTGTGTGACAGAGAGATACTGGGAATTGAAGCATATCCTTCTCATTGAGCTATGTCCCCAGCCCTTTTTAATTTTTTATTTTGAGACAGAGTCTTCTTAAGTGGCTAAGTTGCCCGGGCTGGGCTTGAACTTGTGATTGCTGAGTGCTGGCATTACAGGCATGTGCCAGCATGGGTGGCTGTCCTGCTCTTAACCACTAAAAAGGTCTCCCTTCTGTGAATCTGTTTTTCTAGACTATTCTTGGGGAAACACAGGAAGAGGAGGATGAGATCCTTCCAAGGAAAGACTATGAGGTGAGCTCTGAAGATGTTGTCTTGAGTAAGCAGTGAGTGAGTGGTGGGTGTGTTCGGGGGAAGCAGTGATTCCAACCCCAGATGCTCTTTGACCTTCTATCCTATGGAGTGGGTACGAGATGATATCCTCCGGGAATGGGGCTGTTTAACAAACCCTTTTCTCACTTTAACCTCTGAGCAAGATCTGGTGTCTGTGCTTTTAGAGATCTGTGTAATCTTCACCTGGATAAAATATGTGTCTGCTCTTAATCTCTTTGCTTTTACAAATTACAGAGTCAAAACTACAGGCAGTATATCCTTTTTTTTTTTGGTACCAAGGATGGAACTCAAGACCCTGCGCTTGCAGGGCAGGCAGCGGAACCACTGAGCCAAACCCCCGGCTCCAGGCAGTACATGCTTATAACAGGCATGTGCTTCTAACTCATTAAGGTGGCCTTGGTCCTCTTCTGAGACCTTGGTTTTCAGATGATTATTTCCCACCTGAGCAGCTTCTCTATGAAATGTTCTTGATTGTAGTTTCCCGTTGCAAGTATGGGACTCTTACCATACTCTTACACTTATGTGTGTATTTTTAGTAAGGCTAATGCTGCTGTATGAAACTGACTTTTAAATTTTTTTGGTACTGGGGATTTAACTCAGGACCTCTTGCATGCCAGGCAGGTGCTATGTCACTGAGCCACATCCCCAGCCCTCATGATGACTTTTTGTATAAAGTTTGGAATGACAAAAGCAAGCCATGATTATAGGTAATACTTAAACTATTTATAAGAAGGTAGAGAAGATAGAACTACATAGCAAGACCTTGTTTAAAAAGAAAAAGTAGAGAAGAACCTAGTCTACTAAATATACTATTTTATTTATTTATTGATTGATTGATTGATTGGTACCAGGGATTGAACTCGGGTCCTTGCGCTTGTGCAGGAGGCAGCAAAACCACTCAGCTAAATCCCTGGCCCTAAATATACTATTTTAATTTGCCCTCCCCCAACAACTTTTCTATTGCTACTTTTCTGCAATATCTTCTTAAGTAGGGAAATAAAATTTTATTGTGCCATGGTCTATCTAATTAATCTATCTTTGGTTTTCCAGCGTTTCTATAATGCACTGCATAGTGGTGAACATCATTCCCTTCTTGTCCATTCTTAACTGCTTCCTTAGGATTAATTTTGAGAAGTGGAATTAGCCATATGTATTTTTTTCTTTTTTTTTTGGTACTGGGGATTGAACTTGGGACCTTGTGCTTTTGAGGCAGGCGCTGGAGCCACCGAGCTAAATCCCCAGCCCCCATATGTATTTTTTAATGCCTTTTAAAAATATAGATTGTAAAGGTCCATGGTGAAAGGACAGTAACATCTCTGGCTGAGTTTTTTTTTGGCTGATTTTCTTTTAAATCTTTCACCTTATTTTTGCGAAGAATTTAATGTAAACATTAGGATTTGCAGTATAGCATGAAATTGAAAAAAAACAACTTTTATTAGGCAGAATTTCAAACATGTAGAGGCCAGGATTTAGCTCAGTGGCGTTGTACCTGCCTCAGAAGTGCAAGGTGCTGAGTTTGATCTCTGGTACCAGAAAAAAGAAAAAGAAAAAAAAATTGGGGTAATCAAACATGTAAATAATGGACAGAACAGTATATTGAACTCCCCGTTCTTTTTTTTTTTTTTTTTTGGTACCAGGGATTGAACTCTGGTCCTTGCACTTGTGTAGCAGGTGGCAAAACCACTGAGCTAAATCCCCGGCCCCTAACTCCCCGTTCTTATAAACAGTTTCAGTGTCTGTTCAGTTCATCCTCAACCTTGTTTTAGTTATCCTCTCATCCACTTCTCCCTTCCCGTATTTTGTGTTTTGTTTTGTTTTTTTTTGGTACCGGGGATCAAACTTGGGTCCTTGTGCTTGCGCAGCAGGCAGCCAAAACCACTGAGCTAAGTCCCCGGTCCCCTTCCCGTATTTTGAAGGAAATTCTATACATGATATCATTTCACCCATAAATAATTCAAGTTCATCTCCAGAGGATAAGAACTTTTTTTTTAGCATTACCATACCATTATTACATCTAAGAATTGTTCCTTGATATCAAATATCCAGATGTGCAGATTTTCCCAATTTTCTTTTTCTTTTTTTTTTCCACTTTTCTTTAAAAGTCATATGTATTTTAAATTTGTCTGTGTCAGGTTCCAAATAAGGTCCTCACAATGCATTTGTTTGACCTATCTTTTACAAATCTCTTTTAACCCATAGTTTCTCCCTTCATTTTTTTTTCCTCTTGTAATTTGTTTGACAACATAATTAGGATTCTGTAATAAATGATTCTACTGTCTGGATTTTGCCAGTTGCACCACCATGGTACAGTTTAATATATGACTCTGATGGGAATTGCTTTTAATGACTCAAAAAGCATATATCGGCCAGGGATTTAGCTCAGTGGTTCCACCACCTGCCCTGCAAGCACAAGGACCCAAGTTCGATCTCCGGTACCAAAAAAAAAAAAAGCATATATCTCCTGGTGTATTTCTTTTATACATCTTAAATGTTTCAGTCACTGTATTCAAGCCTAACTGTCCTGCCCTTGTGGAGGTTTCTACCCAGGGGGCTCACTCAGCCTTTTCTGTTGACCCAGACTCCTTTGCTCCTTCTACTGCATTGTATTTATATTTGTAAAGCACTTGACTTTACCTGATACACATATTCATGTAAACTCTACAGGCAAGTGTTCTTTCCTGTGAATCACTAATGTTTCCCAATTAACCATCTCCTCCTATGGGCTTCCTGAGAGCATTTGCTTTGAATTAGAGCAAATTCAGTTGGGCACTTAATCAACCAAGGCTGCTGAGATTTTATTCAAGGATCAACTAGAAAACCCTTCTGCTGAAAGTCTTTCTAAAGTCTGCTCCTCCTTCCGGCTTCAGGAGTTCATTGCACATACTTGACCCCTTCCTTGCTAAATTGGGTGGTGACGAGATGTTAGACTCCCCACTTTGACATCTTTTTTCATGAGTGGTTTGAATAAAAACTGCCTATCTGTTAAATGCGCTGGAGAATCAGTAATGTTTTTCCACTGGTCACAGCCTGTGTGACTCTGGCGAGTTGGAGAAAGGGTCCCCTGGGAGCAAAAGACCCAAAGGCCAAAGCCACATGGCTGGCTCCTAGCCCACTAGAGGTTCTTTTTCATGGACACTCAGGTCCTTTCCTGGTGGATTTGGGCTGTTTCAGCTCCCACTTGCCCACAGGGCCAGGTACCACTCAGCTCATGACCACAAGCAGCAGCCCTGTGGGATACATACAATTTTTATTTTTGGTTTTTTTGGGGACCAGGGATTGAACTCGGGTCCTTGCGCTTGTGCAGCAGGCAGCGAAACCACTGAGCTAAATCCCCAGCCCCTGCAATTTTTATTTTAAAAAAGGTATTAGTTCCCCCAAACCAAAGAGCAACATATATAGCAGAAATAAAAAGAAGTTAGTCATAGCAAAGGAAAAAGAACAATCTCTGGTCTTACTAAATCGTATTGATACATTTTTTACTGTGTCAAATTCAACTAAGTTACTTACTTATTTATTTTTTTGGTACCGGGGATCGAACTCAGGTCCTTGGGTCCTTGCACTTGCGCAGCAGGCAGGAAACCACTGAGCTAAATCCCCAGCCCCCTAAGTTATTTTTTAAAAAAGCAAAGCGTCTGCGGTTTGTGTTGCAGTTCTTTCTAAATGCCCTTTTTAGCAGTTTAATTGAACCATAATGCTCATACTAAACAATTCATCCATTTAAAATGAGTAATTCAATGGCCTTTTTTAGAAAAAATGCACAGTATTGTGCAGCGATCACCACAGTTGTAGGACATTTTCATCACTCCAGGAAAAAAAAACAAACCCTGTTCTCATTAGCAACCATAGCCCATTCCACTAGGCAACAGCTAATCTTTCTGTCTCTGTAGATTGGACTTTTTCGGACATTTAGAAATGTGTACAGCAGGGCTCCTGCGACACTCTGCCTGGAGGTGGCAGAAGGTGAGGGACCATGACACGCTCACTTCATATCCCCCTTCAGGGGACAGGTTCCTACCACCATTTCCTGAGCTTAATTTGCTAGAGCTGCTCACAAAGCTCAGGGAAATTCTTTACTTACGTTTACCAGTTTATTAATAAAGAGTGTGATAAAGGACACAGAGGACAGCCAGATGGAAAGGATGCGCAGAGCCAGGCCTTTGGGGGAGCCACCCCAGCACCCCATGTGTTCAGCAGTCAGGAAGCTCTGCAAACCCAGTGCTCTTGGTTTTTATGGAGGCTTCAGCACATGGGCCTGATCGATTCCATCAGTGGCCACTGGCAATCGACTTAACCTTCAGCCCCTCTCTTCCCCAGAGGCTGGGGGTTGGGAACGAAGGTTCCAGCCTCTAATCATGCCTCGGGTTTCAGTGACCAGCCACCATCCTGAAGCTACCAGTGGCTGGCCACCAGGGTTTTTATTATTGTACAAAAAACATCCCCACCCTGGAGATTTCTCGGGTTTTAGGAGCTGGATACCGGTAAGGGGACAGAGACCAAATATGTATTTCACATTGTCGCAGAAGGATGTTCATATCTTTCCACATTTTGTTTGTTCCTAGAATGTGGTGGTGCTAGATTTTAGTTTTTAGGTGGTATGTATACATATATATTTATATATGTGTGTGTATATACTTATCTGTATAGATGCGTTTAACCATTTACTGATGAATCTACTTCCCTGGAAGAATGTTTTCCTCACTACGGGGTTGCCCCCCACCCCCATTGAATCCAGTCCCTCAGGCAAGTTAGCCAAGGGCTCCCCATTGAATCCATCCTTAACCTTTTGTCTTGTTTTGTTTTGATAGCACCAGGAGTTGAATCCAGGGCCTTCACATTGAGCTACATCACTAGCTCTTTTTATTATTTTTTTTTTGAATTTTGAGACAGGGTCTTTCTAGGTTGCTCATTGCTTAAACTGGGTTTAAAATTGCAGTCCTCCTTCCTCAGCCTCCCAGAATGCTGGGATTACTGCAGCCATATGCCACCACACCCAGTTCCCAGCCTTTTAAATTTTATTTAAAGACAAAGTCTGCTGAATTGGCCAAACTGGCTTAGAACTGTGGGTCCTCCTGTCTCAGCCTCCTGAGTAGCTGGTATTACAGTATGTGCCACCATGGCCTGTAATATTTTTTATTTTGTAATTAGAAAAGAAAAAAAAAAGATAGTCTTTTAAAATACAAAAAGCATACCACACGTGCTATGAGACTTTCAAACAACACCCAAATGTCAACATCTGTAACACCGCCTTACCGATGTTTGTGTGTTATGTATGCTGGTACACAGATTCTAATTTCATTTCATCAAAATGAGATTATCCTATGCATTTAAGTCCTTTTTTTTTTCAGTATTGAGTATTGAACTCAGGGCCTTCTATTGAGCTATATCCCAACCCTTTTTTTTTTCCCCAGCCCTTTCTTAAATTTTTGAGACAAGATCTTGCTAACTTAGTAAATTGCCAAGGCTGAGCTTGAATTTATAACCCTCCTGCCTCAGGCTCCAAAATTGCTGGGATTATAAATGTGCACTATCACATTCAGCGTGACTCACTTTACTTTTTATTGTATCTCACTTTTTTGCTAAACAAGTTTTGGACATTTTCCATATCCGTCTGTATAGATTTACTGTCATGTTTTATTGCTATATAATCTTTTATCTTTGGTAATATGATAATTGATTTAACCAGTTACCTGTTGCTACTCCAGGGCTCTTAAGGAAGGGACCTGGACTCCCTCCAGGCAGTCACATAGATGGGACGAATTGTCACTCAGCCCACCTATATTCAGCTGACTGGAAATGGCCTCCTGGGACTCTGGCCACTAGGCCAATGTCCAGCTTGTTCATTAGCTGACGTGGCAATAGGAACAAATTATGGGAAAGAGTGGATTCAGATTTTCTTTGTTGGTAGACTGTACCTGTCTCTCTCTCTCTCTCTCTCTCTCTCTCTCTCTCTCTCTCTCTCTCTCTCTCTCTCAATAGAACCCCTAGACCACTGAGGTATGTCTCCAGCCTTATTTATTTATTTACTTATTTGCAGTGCTGAAGATTGAACCAATACTTTGCACTGAGCTACATCCCAAACCCTATTTTTAGTTTTTATTTTAAGACTGGGTCTTGCTACGTCACTAATTGCCCAGGCTGGGCTTGCACTTGGGATCCTTCTGCCTCAGCCTCCCAAGTAGCTGGGATTACTCTTCCTGGGTCTGCTGTTTCTCTCTGTGTGTTGGGTGCATGTATGTGGGGGGAGTGTGTGTGTGTGTGTGTGTGTGTGTGTGTGTGTGTGTTTGTGTGTGTTATTTTTTGTGGTACTGGGAAATAGGGATTAAACCAAGGGCCTTCACACTGAGCTAGATCCCCAGGCTTTTTTTTCCAACATGGGGGTCTCACTAGATTGTTAAGTTGCCCAGGCTGGGCTCGAACTTTCAATCCTCCTGCCTCAGTCTCTTGGAGTGCTAGGATTACAGGCCTGTGCCATCATACCCAGCTTGTGCTGTTTCTCTTCCAAGACAGAAATAAAATTATTTCCTCTGTTGTTCTCGAGGGGTCTGTGGCATAGCTGCAAATGGTTTGAAGCGCATCTGTGTTCTGTGAAGCACAGTTTAAGGGACACTGCTCTAGACGTAGAAGCTGTAGGAACTGCCAGAATCTGGGCCTCTTCCGAACATAAACTGGAAGTTAAGTTTAAAAATAGTCTCCATATTGGTCTGGCTGGTACTAACCTCATTTTCATAGAGTCCACCTCTAAGAGATAATTATGAGGGCCGAGGATTTAGCTGAGTGGTTCTGCCACCTGCCTCGCAAGCGCAAGATCACGAGTTCGATCCCCAGTACCGAAAAACAAAAAACAAAAACAAAGAGAAAATTATGAATTGTCTTTCTGGTTAACTTGATTCTGGTTACCGAAGCTTTTGTTCCCACCTCATGGAGTAAGTTGGGCAAGGCTGGTGATGGCGGGAGGCCTTTATTTTGCAGAAACAGAACCTTTGAAAGTAGGTAACGTAAAGCTTTTCCTAGAGCAGGAAGTATTCTCGCAAAGCAGTGCTACTGGCACTTTCCTGATCCCCACGAGTTGCCTGTGGAGTGCAGTGTGGACGCTGCAGGCCGAGGGCCCTGGGCATCTGCATTCCTGACCAGCCCCTCTGGGTGCTGCAGGTGCCTCACCCTGCCCACCCTCGAGTGGAGTAGCAGGACACTGGAGCTTTGTCCCTATTAGGCTTTCCGTACTTCTCCTGCCTGGCTATTGACCTTTTCACCCACATGTCCTTCTTTCAGAGCCTGGATTATGATCGCTGCATCAATGACCCTTACCTGGAGGTGTTGGAGACCATGGATAACAAGGTGAGCTCACAGTTCTTATCTCTCAGGCTCTCGCAGGTCTTCAGACAGCTTCTCTTCTAAAAGCTCCTTACCCTTGGGTCTTTTTACTCTTTTATGAGACGTTGGCACGTAATTCCCTGGCCCTTCCTCCTGCCAACCAGAGACCCAGTCTGCCACCTGGCTCGTTAGTATTCATCATTCTTGTATCGTGAAGCACTTGAGCTACGAGACCTCCTCACCATGCTGGCTGTGCGCATGGAATTTGGCCAAGACGTGTTGCTTCCCCACTGCCAGCACAGCCCTGTAACAGTGGGAATTGCTCTTTTCCATGTGAACAGAAAGGGCGAAGGTACGAGGCGGTGAAGTGGATGGTGGTATTTGCCATTGGAGTCTGCACCGGACTGGTGAGCAGTGGGATGTGTGTGGGGGGTGCCACAAGGGAAAGCCCTGTCCTGGCGAATGAATGACCTTTGTCCTTTGTCACCGCAGCATTTATAACACTGTAACAATTGTCATTATAATCAAGATTGCCTGTTTTCTGTTTTTTTCCTTTCCTTTTTGGTTTTTGCGGTACTGGGAATTGAACCCAGGGTCTTCACACTAAGCTACATCCCCATCCCTTTTAAGATTTATTTTGAGACAGTGTCTCACTAAGTTGGTAAGTTGCCCAGGCTAGGCTTGAACTTGTGTTTCTCCTGCCTCAGCCTCCCAGAATCCTGGCATTATAGGTGTGCACTACCATGCCCAGCTTTCTTTTTCGTTTTCTGATTAATAATTGTAGCCCAGTTTTTTATACTTTCCTTGCTTTTGCATTATGAAATGAAACTGAAACCATAAAACTCTGGGTTCTTTAAGCACTCAGAAGTTTGGCCAAATACCTGTCTTACAATAGGATTATGAGTCAGCCCGTAATCTCCTCAGCCATCTAGACAACATAGCCATGGGAGATGACACAGTGGGCACTGTGGACGTTGAGGTCTCGCTGTCCTGGGCTGCTGCCTGCTCTATGCTGACCGAGTCTACACAATAGAGCTGGTGGTCGTGGGTGGAGGTTGTCCCTGAATGAGCAGGGTGCCGGGGCTCTGTGGGTTCACAGTGGCTCCCAGACAGGGAAAGATTACAAACATTGTCCAAGATTATAGTAGCAGAAGCTCTGCAGCCACAACCGCTGGCTTAGCATTGTTAAACCTAACAAAAGAAGCTGGAAAAGCCAGCAGCCATCCAGGCATGGTGGTGCACACCTGCAATCCCAGCACTTGGAAGCCTGAAGCAGGAGGTTGGCCATGAGTTCAGGGACAGCCTGGGCTTCATAGTGAGTTTAAGGTCAGGTTGAACTACATGGTGAGACTCTGTCTCAAAAAACCAAAAGAAAAAAGAAAAGCCAGCAGCCAGCCAGAAGATAGAGCCAGATCTGATTTTCCATCAGCACGGTGTTGGAAAGGGGTACACAAACAGGAGTAGCCTGTTTATCACCTTTCTCTAGAGTCGGTCACAGGCTCCTACTTAACATTTCATGATATACCAGGGATGTGTAAGATGTATTTAAAATAATGCCACCCACAGTTTCTATTTTCTTGGCACTCATCAGGTTTTTACTCTAGTAAATTGACACGAACATCTACTAGGGAAGATGGAGGACCTTTAGAAGGGCCCTCTGCTGACGTCCCGAAGGATGCCACCATGGGGAGAGGGGCTGGGCTGCTCTAATTGTTTTATTGAAAGCTGAGTGTCTGTTTTAGTAGACAGGTTTCTGATTGAAGACTTCCCTTTATAAGCATATTTATCACCTATGTAATTGTTAGTCTTGCTGCTACTGTTCATCAGACTCCTTTGAACTTGCCATCACCATCAGTAGTGACTTCTCTGCAGAAAGGCCCCCTCCTTTATAAGGCAGCGCTAGCCACTTACCCTTTGATCTGTCACCACTCCTGCAGTGGCAGTGAGCTTCCAGGCATGGGCTTGAGGGAAGGCCAGAGTTAAAGGCAGGAACCCTTTGATTCTGACTCCATAAAATTGGGCTTCCTAGTTCTCCCTTAAGCATTTATGTGAGTGAAATGTAAGATGTTTCCTCTATTCCAGTAATCACCGGCTATGGGATAGTTCTGAGTCAAAATGATGACTTCTATAAAACAAGCATGCAGAAACCACATGTGCCTAAGTAAATGTTGGCTTTGTAAGCAGTGTTCTAAGCTATCTGCTTATCCAGCTGAAAGTGGCTGGAGATGTTTTAACTGTCCTTTTGAAACCTTTTGTCTTTTCACAAGAGTGGAGTGCTTCCCCACACAGTTCAGTATTGTTAGTTTTTTGTTTTGTTTTTTTTTTTGGTACTGGGGATCAAACTCTGGTCCTTGCACTTTCGAGGCAGGCGATGGAACCACTGAGCTAAATCCCCGGCCCCAGTACTGTTAGTTTTTAAACGTGCCAATGGTCTCTTCTTTGGTCTTCTGTCTCTTTCTGTATCCTTTTCCCTTGTTTTACTCTGCTTCACTCCACTTCGCTGTACCCCTTCCTCTGTTGTGTGAAGGCCCAGCGAGGCATAGAGATCTTCTTGAAAGCCAGTGACTGGCAGGCTAAGATGTATTCACAAGTTGCTGGTTGGTAACTCAAGTAGCTGCCATCAATGCGTGGAAGAGGTGATGCTTCGGAGAGAAGCAGTTGTGTGCTTCAGAATGGGGCTGTGTGGCGTCTTTCTTGCTCTTCACAGGTGGGACTCTTCGTGGACTTTTTTGTACGCCTCTTCACCCAACTCAAGTTTGGAGTGGTTCAAACATGTATCCTTTTCATGGCTCCATGGTGCCTAGACTTCTGAGGTCTCTCTCTGATATCTCTGGTATTCTTTCTTGTCCAGAAGTGGGTTTAGCACTGAACGTGATTTTTTTTTTTTTTGGTACAGGGATCGAACTCGGGACCTTGAACGTGATATTTGTTTTCTTTTCTTTTTTTTTTTTTGGTACTGGGGACGAACTCAGGTCCTTGTGCTTGCACAGCAGGCAGTGAAACCACTGAGCTAAATCCCCAGCCCTAGAACGTGATATTTGAAGGGTTACTTATTAGCCATTCAGCTTCAGGGTTAATTATCATCAAAGATTACAGAGATTACAAAGCATGAGTCAGTGGACAGACTCATGTTTGTGTTTGGTAAGATGCAATGTCACAAAGCTGCCTTTTCGCACAGTCTGTAAATTCAGTGTTTTAATCAAAACTCCAATAGCACTTATTATGGAGACAAAAAATTCCTCTAAATTTGTACAGAAGAGCAAAGGGCCAAAAACAGTTGAGGCAGTTTTGAACAACAAGCAAATGGATTTGCTTTCCTAGATGTCAAGACTTGTTCATTTGTTTGTTTTAAGACAGGGTCTCACTATTGTAGTTCATGCTGGCCTTGAACTATGTAGCTCAGGCTGGCCTCAAACTCTGAGTGATCCTCCTGCCTCAGCCTTGTGAGTGCTGGGATTATAGGTGTGTGCCACTACACCCAGCTAAATTTAAGAGACAGTAATTTAAAGAGTTTCATATTGGTATAGAAATATCCAGTTAAACCAATGAGAAGATAATAGGGAATTAGAAATTCATTCTGCCTAGGGAGTTTGATAAAGGACAGTGTTAGTAATCCCCAAAGAACAGATGGGTTATTTAATAAAAGATTCTAGGACATCGGTTATCCATATGCAGAAATAGATTCCTATTCGTACTATAAATAAGCTAAATTCCAGATGGATTGAAGCTATAAATAAGCAGGACAAAGTTTTAAGAGACTAGATGATATCAGATGTAGGGAATAGTTTCTTTCTTTTTTTTTTTTTTTGGTATCAGGGATCAAATTTGGGTTCTTGTGCTTGCAAGGCAGGCGGCAGAACCACTGAGCTAAATCCCCGGCCTGGGAATAGTTTCTTAAAACCCTAGAAGGCACAGACAGTAAGGGGAAAGACCAATAAACTTGACCACATCAAGGTAAATGTTCCATTGATAAAGGAAATTTTAAAAACCTCAAACAGTAAAACACCATAGATAAAGTAAAAAGCAAGTTCTCAATTAGTTTCCAAAATATAGAAAGAAAAAAATCCCAACAGTCCAATAGAAAAATGGGCAGGAAGGGCCGGGGATTTAGCTCAGTGGTTTTGCCACCTGCTGCGCAAGTGCAAGGACCGGAGTTCGATCCCTGGTACCAAAAAAATAAAAAAAAGAGAGAAAAATGGGCAGGAATGTAAACAGGTTCTCAGAGGAGAAAAACAAAGCTAGTAAGCTACGGGAAAAAATCAGAATGAGCCCATTCCTATCTCACAAGTTCCCCTCAGACAGGGACCTTGGACGAGTCCAGAGGTGTCTGTCACACCTCTGTGACGGCAGGAAGTTGTACGCACTGGCTGGGGGCATTACTGCCCACTCAGGATCCCACACGCAGATTCACTGACCAGGTCAAAAGGGACCGTTCATTTCAGTAAAATGGACACAGGGTTTATTCAGAGCCAGCTCTGAAGAGATGGAGGGGCCGATTTGCCTCAAGTCACCATCTATCGCCTGGTGTCCAGGTGTGTTGTGGTCGTTTACCGCAGAAGACAGCTCAGGAGCGCAGGCCGCAGTAGACGTGGGTGGCCAGTTCCGTCCCTGCAGTTGCACCTCTTGCTCCCTTGTCTCAGGAAGCTAAGCTGGTCTTGACCTTCTGGTGCTGCTTTCTCCCTATTCTGTCTTTTCCTCTGGGCTGCAGAGAGGCCTGTACCTGAGGAAGTTTGGAAGCCACATGTCACTAAAGGAAAAAAATATATAACTTTAAAAGTTCTGCTGTGCAGTGCTGGTTACAGGAGAATGGAAAAATTAACGCACGTCATCCAGTATAATTTTACACAGAAGATGTATGAACTGGAGCTATGTACGTCAGCGTGGCTAATCCTCAGAAATTTATACGTTGAGACAGAAAAGCAGAAAGTTGTGAAATGTACATAAAGTGTAGTATGAACAATGTGGAGATAAGAAAATATGGAGGGAATTCAGCCTAGTAGTTTCTCCCAGAGGAGGAAGGACAGAAAAAGGGTGGGGTTTTTTTGTTTGTTTTTGAGATGGAGTCTTGATGCATTTCCCAGGCTGACCTTGAACCTTCTGCCCCTGTGTCCCCTTCCCATGTAGCCAGGATTTCAGGCATGTGTCACTCCACCTGGCTTGGATTTGTTTTTTACATGGTATCTTATGTCTTATTTTAAAAATATCTGGAGTAGGCCCGGGGATTTAGCTTAGTGGTTTCGCCACCTGCTGTGCAAGCTCAAGGACCCGAGTTCAATCCCCGGTACCAAAAAATATATGTATACATCTGGAGCAAATATGGTGTAACTGAGGTTTTGTAAAACTAGGATTGTGAGTGTGTGTAACTTTTGTAGCACTCGAGGTAGTCCATATTTTTACTTTTTTTTTTTTTTTTAGACAGT